AACGGACCACCTACAGTGCACTTGATCTGAGAGACGGGTTCTATCAGCTCCTGAGGCGTGAGAGCGATACCCCTCTCGCGGCGGTAAGCATCCCAAGCGGTATGCTTTGGGAGTGGCTAGTTATGCCACAAGAACAGAAGAACGCCCCTGCGACCTTCAATAGATGCGAGACGCATCTATTGCATTCGGTGCGCGACTTCGCGCCGAGCTACTTCGACGATGTGTATGTTCCGGGCTGTGAACGAGAAGACGGACGTCGAGATGCACAACGAGCATCCCCGGGAACTGCTTGGGCTCATGCGCAAGTACAAGCTCTATGCAAACCTGAAGAAGGGCATCTTCGGTGCGAGTGAGATACCCGTGCTAGGGTGTCTCGTTGGAAAGAATGGCGTGCACCCTGACCCCGAGAAGGTCAGAGTAATTAATGTATGGCCTACGCCATCCAACGTGAAGGAACTGCGGCAATACCTTGGCCTTTCCACGTACTTGTGCAAGTACGTGGACAACTACGCAGGCAAAAGTTTCGCCCGCTGTCGCAGCTTGTGAAGAAGGAAGCTGCGTGGGAATGAACTGCTGAGTGTCAGCGTTCGATGCAGTCAAGCTGGTCTTGACCGAAGCGCCGATCTTGGCTGTAGTTGACCAAGATCGTCCCTTTCACGTAGTGTGTGACGCATCCGATTTTGCGATCAGATGTGCGTTAATGCAACTCGATCACGAGGACCGTGATCGAGTCGTCTACTACCAGTTGCCGTCAGCTGAAGCCAGCTGAGCGATAACACCCGGTACATGACAAGGTACTCCTTGCCATGAAGTATGTACTCGCGAAGTTCCGAGTGTATCTACTCGGCAACACGTCGTTCGTGGTCTATACAGACCACACGTCGTTGCGGACGTCTGTGAAGTCTCCGCACATCTCGCAACGAATGGCGATATGGTTGTCCTTCTTTGCGGAATACATCTTCCGCGTCGAGTACAAACCCGGAAGGTTGAATGTCGTCGCGGACGCGTCGACCAGATTATGCTGTCAAGACAGCCGACGTCAACCGGATCGACGTCGCTCGGACATACACACCGTCGTCGTCCTTGTTGGACGAAGTGAAGACCGCGTATGCGCATGATGCAGACGCGAAGCAGCTGATCGAGTCCCTCTCAGCTCCTTCCAACAAAGCATGTCGGAAGTTGGCCCCTCGTCTACGAGCGAGTGCACACCGGTATCGTGTGCACGACGGTCAACTGCTTTAAAGCGCTCTAGACGACAATGCGGAACGCATTGTCGTACCGAATGATCCCGACCTGCGCAGCAGGATCATGTACGAATATCACGATGTCCCCACAGCAGGACATCCGGGACGTGAAAAGACATATTCTCTTCTCACGAGAGACTTCTACTGGAACCACCAGTACAAATGGGTGCACAAGTACGTACGTACTTGCGATGTTTTCCAGCGAGTGAAGCCTGCACCTCAACCGCAGGCTCCTCTGAAACCACTGCTGACTCCATCGGAGTGTTGGAAGTCCGTTTCGATGGTCTTCGTGTTTGGCCTTCCGCGCGATTCCAGGTGGAAGATTGGTATTGTGGTCTTTGTGGACCGCTTCAACAAGATGGTGCATCTCGCTGCTGTCGCAGCGGAGGTGACCTCCGTACAGACGGCACGTCTGTTCGTCGACATGGTGTTCAAGCACCATGGCATGCCCAACGACTTTGTGTCGGACCGCGATCCGCGCTTCACGGCGCGTTTCTGGCAAGAAGAGTGTTCATACTTCTTGGAACACGGTTTTCTATGTCGAATGCGGATCATCCGCAGACGGACGGGCAAACCGAGCGAGTGAACCGCGTGCTCGTGGACTTGCTGAAACGCTACGCCCAGTCGTTCCACAA